GCTCGGTCTGCCGCGCAGGGGACACTAGTCTGTACTACCGACGGAAATCGAGCGCGCGCCGGTTGAGAAACACCGGACGTGGGCGCACAGATCAGATCAGATCCGACGTCCAAGAAATCGAGCGCGGGAGAAACACTCGAGCAATATCTAGCTTTCTCGTCTAGAAAAACCTAACTTTTTTTTCTACACTAGATAACGTGTTCGTGTGTTGCTACGGGATAACTAATAATTTATACTAAAAACAAACGGATCGTACAATAAGATAACAATACTGTTAAATTAAATACCAACGTTAAAGTGACATTTAATCAAAAAAAGTAAAGTTTATGAATTTAACACAGTCACGGAGTACGCGGCGCCACAGACTCACAAACTCTAGAGCTTTCAGAGATTGGGTCGAATCCAACCTAGAGCCTCGGAACCCTACATCTTTTTCTGGACGGGCTTCACTTCGGATGTGCCGGTAGCAATATCAACGATCTTCAGTCGATGAACAAGTCGTATGGATCCCCATACAATGGCTCAGACATGTAGATTTTGTTCTCCTTGTACTTGGATACACTTGTTCCATTAAAACTTTCATTGAAATGTTTAGACACGAACAGTGTCTGATCACTGATGTCCCTCACCCTGGACCATTCCGGTGTACGATCGTGGAGGTTGCACTTGTAGATCACGCTGCTGCAGGTGAAGCTCTGTGTCTCATGGAACGTGCTCACCATGCCACCCACAATGTGCAACTCACCGTTTGATTCCAGGTAGCTGCGGTGCAGAGCTCTGCAGGTGGCGACAGCGATGGCAGCAGCGTCGCGGTTGGAGTAGCACCGACGGCGTTACTGCTGCAGACGGAGATTTCTCCAGTGCAGTCGATCGCCAAGAACTTGTCTTGGCAGTGGACGATGAACCCCACGGAGAACTCTAGTTTGGTGTCGAGCAGCGTCCATGCGCTGTCGACTCTAACCCGGCAAAACGCGACCTCCGTGGAGCACCCAAGCATGGCCATGGCCACGCACTCACGGCCGGCGGCATCTGGCGGTGCCGAGAGCACGATCTCACGAAAGAACACGTCCCTCATGTCTTCTAGCTTGATGGCTCTGCCTGCGGCATCCGCGTCCCCGTAACCGTTGGTGGGATGGAGGACTCACCGGCCGTGGACCCTAGACACGCGTTCCGATGAGGACGCTGCTGCGACGTGTTCGCCTGCTGGCGGAAGCTCAACGCGGGGGGCACGGGCACCGACGAATGGATTCAGCAGCGTCACGGACGCCGCCTCGTCCATGAGCGCCAGCCACCCACACGAGGAGCCGCACACCACCTTGCCGCGCACGTCGGGCACCGTCTTGGACAAGACCTTCTTCTCCGGGACGCGGTAGAAGCCGACGCGGTCCGAGTCGGGGTCGAACGGGAGCAGCAGGAGCGGCCCGAAGGTCGCGAACGGGACGGTGGCACGCCATGGGGAGCAAGCGGATCGAAAGGACGCCACGTCGTGGCCTGACGCAAGACGCTGCCCGATGGACTCGAGGAAATCCTCTGGCAGGCCGGATCTCCAGTCAGGGAGAGGTAGGGATCTTCTCTTAGGATTGGGAGGCTGAGCCATGGAAGACAGATGACATCAACTATGGTTCACGCAAGAAACAGCAAGCGAGAATGATAGAACACGTGAGCGTGAAACCAAAATGAAAGGAGAAAACAGTTATCCCTTTTGCAAATGCAAAGAGGGAAAGTAATTAAATGTAGGCAGATTTGACAAGGTTCTCAGAAATGCAAAAAGGTTTCTTTTGTCTTAATTCTCTTTCCTTCTGTGTTAATTCTCTTTGCTTTTGCTCGTTACCATATATGCTGGTGCATGCAAACATGCAATGTGTATATGGATAGCACAATAATTTTCTACTTCCTATTTTGCCGTGATTCCTCTGTCACATGACAGGCAATATTCAATCAAGGAGAATGGCACGATCAATCAGTAATTAAGATGTCGTGGGATCGCAGGCGTGGACAGACGGACGAACCAAAACAAATGTCGCACAAAAAAATGTCCATACTTTGTTCTTTTTAGTTGTAGGAGAATATGTGTTTGTTGAGATACCACTTACTAGTTGTTTAAAAAATTAAAGCGTGATTAATTCATCAGTATTGTTAGTTACTTAATTAGTTGGTATCAAACTATCAATGCCACAACATGTTATTGTCGAGTTATTTGTTGGTGTTGACCAGGCTGTTACTGAGATATTTTGCAAGCAAGTTAGGGTGCGCCTTTCCATTATGCTTGTTGAAATAAACAATGATGTTGTTTATAAGAGTACCTTCAGGTGACAATTTTTGCTGTAGGACATCCAACTTCAACGGAATTGGTTTATTTCACACCACCAACTTCAATATTGCTACGTATCATTATAAAATTGTGGTCACCCATTAAAGTATTAATTTCTCAAATCTAGAAAAGTGAAAGGAGGGGGAATAGACGATTTTGCCCATGACTCATATAACTTCTCCCTCAAGCCTTGCGGATGGTAGGGAGCTCCCTGGTGGCGCAGCCAGCCTAGGGGCGCGCTCCCCGGTGGCGCGGCCATCGTAGGGGCGGATGAGGTGGGCAGGGCACGCGGCGGCCGCGCATGTTGTGGGGCGACATCAGGAGCCGCAAGGCACGGGGCAGAGGGTCAAGGTGCGCGTTGTTGACCATGTGGCCAAAGAGGAGAGGACGACACCGTGCGGTAGGCGTCGGAGAAGGACAGAGGAGACAGAAGGGTGGAGTCAGGAGGTGCAAGACGACTGCAGGGGCAATATTGTCTATTCACGCGCCTTTCTCTCTCCCAAACCATAGAAAATAAATATTTAAATGATTGTGTTGTCCTGTGGCAAGTAACCAGGTTTTCATATTGGTACAGGGCCAATTATCGAGTTGGCGGTGTCCAACGGCATATTATACGTTTGAGTGGTGTCTCTGAGCAAAATTTACCTTCCTATAATTAACTTGCTAAACCAATAAATTTAATGAGTTAACAAAATAAGTAGTAACATCAATTTATTTTTCTCTCTAGCAGTTTACTATCTTAGCTTTTTAAACGATTTTGCATTGGAAACCCCAAACTATTTCTAACCAACCAAACCTCTTTTAATAGCTCTTATCGTTTTCTCACTTGAAACCTTTTACTTTCTTAATTTACTCATTGCGTCTAATTTACTCTGATCTCCCGAGAAAAATGTTAGATGGGGAGCAGATATAGAGTTCCTCTCGACTGCGGAAACTTACGAGCTAGAGATGATATTTGACAACTTTTTTTATTTTTAAGGAGTTCTTTTACCAAACTGTTGGATGAAACTTTTTTTCCTTTTTCTAAAAAATCAAACTACGGAGATGTTTTACAGAACTCCTGGAGATGCTCTAAGCTCCTCAAATTGGTACTGGTACCATCATTGCAACTACTAGTGTTGAGAGAGTCCTTTGCTAGCTCAATGAATTATGTGAAGGATAATTTGAGAACTAAGATGGAGAATCAATATTTCGATGAATGCTTGGTTGCATTTATAAAGCATGAGTTACTTTTTCAAGTTAAGGGTAGTGATACTTCAGGGGGCTTCCAAGGTACTCCCTCTGCTCAGAAATGGCTTATCATTTTTTAATAGGGGAAGTACGAAGGAGCGCAAAGTTAAAGTTAAATTGGAATTTCTTTAAATATTTTGAAGTTTCTCTTTGTTTTGTGGACATTTTAGTCTTGATCATATGTACCTTTAATCAATACTAGAGTAAATTACTCACTCTGTTTTAAATCCTAAGTTGTCCTAAAAATGAAAAAGTCCATTTAATTCCCTTAACTATCATTGAAGTCTAGGTTTCCTCCATGAACTCCAAAACCGGGTAAACCACCTCCCTCAACTTTTAAAACCGTTCATTTTACCTCCTGACCCAATTATAGGTGGTTTTCAAAGGCGATTTTGTCTTTTTAGTTTAAAAATAAATCCAGTAAATACCTAATGATGTTTTTAAACCACAAAAAAAATCTCTAAGCTTCTAAAAAATCTCTAGAAAGTACTAAAGATGTATTAGGACACGAGAAACACAAATAATATATTTATATCTTGTGAAAAATATCTCTAGAATCTTTTAAAAATTTGATTTAGCTCTAGGAAAATGGGAAAAACATGCAAAAAAAATCTGGAAAACCGCCTTTGAAAACCACCTATAACCGGGCCAGGGAGGTAAAATGAACGGTTTTAAAACTTGAGGGAGGTGGTTTACCTGGTTTTGGAGTTCAGAGAGAGAAACTAGACTTCGAAGATAGTTCACAGAGGTAAAATAGATTTTTTCCTTCTAAAAATATGGACTGTGCTCCTGGCACTGTCCGACTGGGTGTGGACTTTGTTCGCGTCATCCCACGGCCTGTGCAAATGTTATCTGGGCCTCCACCACCACCAAGTCCCCTGTCCCAAGATAAGGAAGCTTCCACTGAAACATTTGTTATCCTCAATTCGATTAAAGAAACACCCAGTTGACCTTCCTTGCTCTGCAATGCACTGCAAGGTCGTATCTTGGTCAACAAGCACAAACAACTTGGCATGTGCCCATCCATGGCCATGTCAGGCACACTCTTCAGAATATTTTTAGCTAGGCCTTGTTTAGATTGCAAATTTTTGTAATCTGGACACTGTAGCACGTTTCGTTTGTATTTGATAAACTTTGTCCGATCATGAACTAACTAGGCTCAAAAGATTCGTATCGTGATTTACAACCAAACTGTGTAATTAGTTATTTTTTTTTACCTACATTTAATGTTCTATGCATGCATCCAAAAATTGATGTGACGAAGAAAAAATAAAAAAACTTGAAATTTTGAGGTAATCTAAACAAGGCCCTGGCATCCGTCATCTTGAGTTCAGAGTACAAGTTTGGGTTGGACACTGCAACTTCCCTCACTGCACTAGCAGAGTGCAGACGCAGTGTATATAACTCCTCTCCGCTCCTCCATCAAATGTCAACAGCAAGAGCTACGAAGACAACGGCAATGGCAATAGATTCCTCTTCCTCCTCCGAACTGCAAGCCAGCGCACTCTCCCTGCCCGTCCTGCTGTTCGTCCTCTACATCTCCTACCACCTCATCACGCGAGCCCTGACGACGACCAAGAAGAACAAGCCCACCACCCACGGCCTCAAATCGCACCCGCTCCTGGGCCACCTCCTGGAGTTCCTCAAGAACCGCCACCGCTTCCTCGAGTGGTCCACGGAGCTCATCGTCGCCAGTCCGGACCACCGGATGGGGTTCTGGATCCCCGGGATGCGGACGGGCATCGTCACCGGGAACCCCGCCGACGTGGAGCACGTCCTGCGGACCAACTTCGCCAACTACCCCAAGGGCGAGCACGCCGCCGCCATGCTCCGCGACTTCCTCGGCCACGGCCTCTTCAACTCCGACGGCGAGCAGTGGCTCTGGCAGCGCAAGAACGCCAGCCACGAGTTCAGCAGCCGCTCGCTGCGGAGGTTCGTCGTCGACGTCGTCAGCGACGAGGTCGCCTGCAGGCTGCTTCCGCTGCTCCGGAGGGCCGCGGACGGTGATGGCCGCGTCGTCCTCGACCTGCAGGACGTCCTGGAGCGCTTCGCGTTCGACACCATCTGCATGGTCGCGTTCGGGCACGACCCCTGCTGCCTCTGCCTCGCCGCCGACGACGACGGCGGTGGCGGCTGGGCGGACGCCAAAAAATCCGAGTTCATGCGCGCGTTCGGCGAGGCGCAGGACCTCATCGTCCGCCGCTTCCTGGACCCTGTCGAGGTCTCGTGGAAGGTCAAGAAGTGGCTCAACGTCGGCATGGAGCGGCGGCTCAAGAAGGCCATCGCGGACGTGCACGCGTTCGCCATGGGCATCGTCCGCGCCCGGCGCCAGAGCGCGAGCGCTTCGGTCGACCACCACAGGGACGACGTCCTATCCCGGTTCGTGGCGAGCACCGAGCACAGCGACGAGGCGCTGAGGGACATCGTGCTCAGCTTCCTCATCGCCGGGCGCGAGACCACGTCGTCGGCGCTGACGTGGTTCTTCTGGCTTCTGTCGTCGCGCCCTGCCGTGGCGGCGCGCGTCCTCGCCGAGGTCCGCGCGGCGCGGGAGGCGTCCACGGGCACGCGCCCCGGGGAGCCACTTGGCTTCGACGCGCTGCGCGGCATGCACTACCTGCACGCCGCGCTCACCGAGTCGATGCGGCTGTACCCGCCGGCGCCGATCGACTCGCAGTCGTGCGCCGCGGACGACACGCTGCCCGACGGCACGCACGTCGGAAAGGGTTGGTCCGTCACCTACAGTGCCTACGCCATGGGCCGGCTCCCGGCCATATGGGGCGACGACTGCGCCGAGTACCGGCCGGAGCGGTGGCTCGGCGATGACGGCGCGTTCCGGCCGGAGAGCCCGTTCCGGTATACCGTGTTCCATGCTGGGCCCAGGATGTGCCTCGGGAAGGAGATGGCGTACGTGCAGATGAAGTCCGTCGTCGCTAGCGTGCTGGAGGAGTTCGTGGTCGACGTCAGGAAGGAGGTCGCCGGCGGCGGTGTGCCGGAGCACGTCCTCTCCGTGACGCTTAGGATGAAAGGAGGCTTGCCGGTGCAAGTGAGGAGAAGGGAGCTGGCTGGAAGTGCTGAATGACGATCCAGAGCAGACATGTGTCTCATCTCATAATGCTATCGTGCGTCTATTTGGTTTGACAAATAATAACGTTTGTAAATATGTTGTCCTTTTGTTTTTTTTCCTGCTGTCTACATCTATTTTTTGAGTTTCATTTTACGATTGTAAAGCTATATTCAGTCAATAAAATGAATGATTGACTACTTACTTTTTGATATGGAGAGAGAGACATAGACTCCTATTTTAGGATTGATAGCGGCATAATCTTTTGACATGGCACGGTGTAAATTTTTTTGAGTCTCACCACGTCTAGGACTTAACATGATGGATAGCACGGCAAGAAACATAAGCATGATCACAACGTTTCTATGCAATTGCCTAGTGTTTAGTATCATACCTCTCCTATATTTTTTTGAATGGACTAGGAAAATAAAATGGTGAAAACAAGTAAAGATATTCTAATGGAAGTGCTTGGACCGTGTCACGACACGAAAGCCGGGCGACATGCTATGAGTCGTGCTTGTGCCAAAGCAAGGACTTATCGTGCCGGCACGGCGCTTGATCAGATCATGACTCAGAAGCGGCACGAAGCACACGAGAGTAACACTAGGGGTCAGGCCGTACTGAAGCTTTTTATTAAAAGGAAACAAGCACAAAGATACATGAGGAAACTGTTAGAACTAGAGAGCGAGAGACAGTGAGCCGATGCAAATGACCTATTGCATTGAACAGTGTTGTACGTATATATACAGAGCTCACGTGGGCAGTTACAAGTCTGAGAGAGAGAGAGAGCGGGTGAAAAGACACCCTTTAGGATTATTCTCTAATTGATCATTAATAATAATTCTCAACACTCTCCCTTAATCAATTAACTCCTTGTAGTCTTCACTATTCATCTATTATGCATCATTATGAATCTTTGGAAAACCCTATGGGAAAAGCCAAAGTAATACCGGTATACCAGGCAAAACTCTTTAAAATCTAGTGAGAAAAATAAGGAGAAACACCATGATATACAATCACCAATATTATTAGACCCTTTGAGATAAACCCAAAGCCTTAGTCTAAAACACTTTGACCATAGGGTCAATATGCTTCAAATATCATCTTCCAAAAAATTCGGTGGGGAAAAATAGATGATATAGCATATAACTTTGTGTTGACATTGCCTCATCAAAAACTTTATAGGAGAAACCTCAAAGGGAAAACTCACATAAAGAAAAGAGTACAATGCATCTTATGTCCCAATATCGTCCACCAAAAACCCCTGTGGGAAAATGGATGATATGACATAACCTTATATTGATATTGCCTCGTTAAAAACTTTATATGAGAAACCATAAGGGAAAAACTCATACAAAGAAAAGAGTGCATTATGATGTTTGTAACAAGTTATTAATCAGAGAGACTCTCCTCCTGATACTTGCAAATGTCAAAGTCAATTCATACCAATGCACTCACACACATAAAAAATGTAGAGTATGATAGACTGTGAATATCTCTGCAAGATTATCACAATACTTAGTTTGCAAATATTCATATGTCCATATTACCTATGAAACAGAACCATCTTAGTGCAAAAATATAGCACTAAGTATAACTTGTCTCCATCTACACAACACAAGTTGCATTACCTTTATAGATAATGACCATTGATTCAATAGAATCAACACCACATAACTTCAGTACGTGATATATCATTCTGTCGAGCTATACATATTCATGTGAAGCCCTGTACAATACAATACCAGAATGATTTGTGGAAATGATTACTGATGTTTATTTAAAAACTACCACAAAATGGTCATTCCACATGCACATTAAGCCTTTTCAATTATCTAGAATGTAGGGATCTTATAGATAACCAGAATCATTATATCCAACTGGATCATGGGTTCTTCCAAACGAACACACCAAGATCACTTGTGCTACCGAGATACCAAAAGATATCTTTAACTCCAATCCACCAATATTTGGTAGGAGTAGCGCTGCTTGTAGATAGAAAATCATGGCAAAAATAATATCCGGCCGGGTACTTTTCAAGATATATTAGCGCATCAATAGCACGGAGATAATGGACCCACATGTCCCATTATCTCATCTCAATCACTATGTCATAAAACAATCTTCCTCTTTCTAGAGGTAGAAAGACCATAGGATACCTTCATATTGAATCATTCAATATGATCTGAATGTAGATAGCTTTTGTACAAAATCCAAAGAGAAGATGTTTGGATCATAAACACAAAATGAAATTTTGGTTTAGTCTGTATCTTCAATCTCAAACTCCATCTTTAGATTACTATGTGTTATTAACACGTGTTCATTACCAATGATGTCAAGATTATTGACCATCATATGACACTACAAAATCCAATCAAGGGCTTCAAAATGAACACCCACGTGTAATCAATCATGTACCCCATCAGTTTAAGGAATACACACAAAGTTGATTGTACCAAATTCGACTTAACTATTTTAAGCCATATATTGACTTAAGCAATACACAATATATTGTGATATTATGAATGAGGGTTGGGTATGTGAACTCCTTCTCGTAAGCTTCACAAATACACCAAATCAAGTGATCATATAAATATACACAATCACTACATCTATCAACTATCAACTGCAAAGATAGATGCTTTTGTACTGCCAACCAAAAGATAGTATCAGAAATTTATAACACTTACTATGGAGAATAATTTGCATTGAAAATCAATGCCTGGGCTTTGCGTAAACCCCTTGTGCTACTAATCTTGCTTTGTATCTCACCACCACATTGTTCTCAATCCATTCTAGAATGAAAACACTTTTCTATCCCACAGTAAAGATACCTCAAGGTGTTGGCATTGCAGCCCCAAAACACCTCTTTTCTGGTGAGCAAGACTATCTCTGCATGCATTACATCACTCAACAAGTTCCAGTAAGAGTGAGAAAGTACTCTGCCATGGTCTTATTTACTGGATGACTTGTAATTTTGTATAAAGTTTATTCAGAGAAGTATGTGTCGACACATGAAGCCTTTCTATCATATAATTCTCTGGTCTATCAAAACTCAAAGTACCCCGAATGATTCATCGTGACTTCCTGAAACAAGAGTCAGGGCTTTTCGATATCCCAACATTAGTATTTAGGTGCACCTCTGAGCTAGGTTTGTGGATGACATCCATCCACTGGGTAATAACCAATATTTACCCACAAGGTGTCGCCAACCATAGGTTGACCTGCATTTACCATCTTAGAAGGAAAACCTTCTATTTGCTAGCATGAATAATCCTACTTTATGGCCATACTTGTCCCCCTCTTATTTACAATTGGGAGTTGAGTGGTTTTACTTGGTACCACCACTATTTCTGGCACATACTTGCAAAGGATTAACAAGTTTAAAAGACACCTTAGTAATCAGTAAATGCATTTGATAGCTTATTTGCAATATTTTACAAATCAATAATTCTTTGAACTCAAAATTCAGTTCATTTAGTACGTGATCCTGAGCTTGAAATGTATTATGCATTTCAAATAATTTCCTGGCATTATATATGGTACTTCAAATCCTCCCTAATGCCTGGAAGTGCTCATTGTCAAAATAAACTAGTGTACAGGGCCGTAAATAGATCCTCCATAAAAGGTTCTAGGTACTTAATAATTGACAGGGTATGAAATCTCACATTAATCCCCAGTTTCCTGTGTGTCCAACAATGTACGTTGCGGTGGTGAGATTGGTACGTATACAACGTAACCTAATCTTACGCAAACAGGAAATCTTCATGGATTCCTGAAAGGATCAAGATGCCCAAGAGGGGGGGGGGGGTGAATTGTGCTAATTCTAAAATTCTTTGCAATAATTAAACACTACACTTAGCCCACTTCACCCCTTGTGCCTAGAATGTGAAGCTATTGATCTACAACATAAAAGTTTAGCACCCTAAGTTCCAATCCTACTCTAGCATGGCAATTCTAAGAATGTAAAGACAAGAATTGAATTGCTCAAATGTAAATGCTTAAAGTAAAGAGAGGAGAAGGAACGCGGCGATGTTTTGCCGAGGTATCGGAGAGTCGCCACTCCCCACTAGTCCTCGTTGGAGCACCCGCGCAAGGGTGTAGCTCCCCCTTGATCCGCGCAAGGACCAAGTGCTCTCTACGGGTTGATTCTTTGACACTCCGTCACGGTGAATCACCCACAACCGCTCACAACTTGAGTTGGGTCATCCACAAGCTCCATCGGATGATCACCAAACTCCCAATCACCACCAAGCCATCTAGGTGATGGCGATCACCAAGAGTAACAAGCAAGAACTCTCACTTGACCACAACAAGCCTAATGAGAAGGGTGGATGCACACTTGCTACTCTCCTTGCACTAATGAGGCCTTAATCTTGGATTCTCAAATCACGATCACCTCACTAGGCTTTTGCTCTCCTTGGTACTCTCAAGGGTGTTTCTTAGCTGTTGAAATGGGCAAGAGTACTCCCTTGAATGAATAGAGGAAGTATTTATACCCCCTCATTCAAAACGAACCGTTATGTGCTTGAGTCATCACACAGCGGGGTGACCGGACGCTCCGGTCAAGGTGACCAGACTCGTCCGGTCAGGATTCTCCTTCTCTGGAACCTCTCTGGAGTTGACCGGACTCTAGCACCCAGCATCCGGTCACATTTCACTCAGCGTCCGGTCGCAACCAGGTGGCTCCACTTGATCAAATGAACTGACCGGACTCTACTGCCAGCGTCTGGTCACACCGAAACCAGCGTCCGGTCAACATTTGATCCTCCATTCACTTCAAACTCAAAATCATATGTGAATGAAGTTTTCTCCAATTGATCTAAGGGCTACTTTGGAGCTACCTTGTGCTAGATTTGACAAGTGTGCACCACACCTAACCCACTAGACTCACCTAGGTCAAGCTACTAGTCCATACCCCCCTTAATAGTACGGCCAAAGGAAAAACAAAGTCTTAAACTACTCTAAGTGTCTTTTCAACACCAAACGACATTTAGAACTAGTCCATCCTTAACCTT